ATGACCATAGTGCAGAAAAACACAAAACACAGAGCAAAGAGATGCTACTCAGTTGAAGTAACTCGATGTGACAGTAAAGGGTAAACCAACAACTCTTACTTCTACCTAAAATAACTCTCTTCTGGTACTCAATCATTCACACCCTCTTTTGCAATGCAGGTTTGTGCCTGTAACGTCAGCAAATTAAGATGCATTCCTTCCCACTCAGGTAAAACACACTTAAGTAGCCAAAGTGTCCAATAAAATGCCAAGGATACATACCATAATGTCTGCTTCCCTCGTAGCATACCGAAGATTAGGATCCAGCCAGTACATGACTGCTTTTACCTGCTCAAAGTTAAGGAAGAGCACGAACACCAGGAACAGAAAATACAGCACACTGAGACCTGCAAAAAGACTTTGCTTTAGAATCACACACATAAAACTCCTAGTGCCACAGAGTCCAAAAAACTGCCTTACAACAGATACTCAATGCGTGCCTGGTTTGCACAAATGAGTTTTCTACACACAGCAGTTACACACCCAAAAACCTAATGGACAAGTCAGGTGGTAATCTTTAAGCATTCAGCCTTTCTTCCATACCACCTCCTGTTTCACATTCTATAATATACATTCAACTGTATAAACCCAGACAAAAAAAAAAATCAGACTAGATAGTTTCAGCACAAGTTGCACAAGCCTGTGATCAGATAGCTCGGCAGTAAATGGTAGATTAGGATCACAGGATTGGTTTTTTCCAACACAAAGATCAATTTATTAATTCCACCTGGCAATTCTGAGCTGTGCTTACAACACAGAGTAGCTACAAACATAAACCAGCATACTGGCATGATCAGTTAGTTCTGCCAGTTGGAAAATTTACTGTTTCAATCTTCTCAATATAAAGATAATGATACGTTTTTACACCATTATACACTATGAAATACTACCGCATTTGGGAACACCTCCTCTTTCTTCCCAATGCCAAAATACAGCTTTATTAAAAGAAGGAAAACTTGTAAGAACTTAAATAGAGTCCTGCATAGACCTGTGGGTAGACGAAGCTGCTTATGGCAATACATCTTTACATTGTTCACAAGTTCACAGACATCTACATCTACATGAACACTAGCACTAGTTCTATAGTCTAATACTCAAACTTACTTGTGTCCTGCAATGTCATGGTGGTAATGTCATGGAAGGCAGAAAAATTAACATGAGTAAACTTAATATCTTCTATCTAAAATAAATTATAGCAATTCTTCAGAAAAAAAAAATATATATATATAACTAGAGATTAACTGCTAGAGTATGGAAGAGAAGTTCCATTCAAGTGCACGTGCATGTACAGGAAGCACATACTGCCCTCTGCAGCACATCCTGAAAACACAACAGGTACACAGATGCCCAACTACTGGAATGAGCACAGCCTGCAGGTGGGATGAATCCCAAAACACCAAGGTGCTACTCCTGCCTTTCACATACTGCACAGGTGTGAGACCTCAGGCCAGAAGAAGCAAAATTACAGAGGGGAAAATGTTGCTCCTGAATGTTTGCAGTTTTTCCACCAGAAGTACAGAGGCTCTGAGAATGTTCTTTACTTTATATTTGCTCAGAAGGGAGCAGTAGGACCTGTGTTTCCCCCACCACCATCAGGATTCATTAAGTACTATCTAATCAGCAGTACCCCCTCAATGTCAACAGATGAGTAATCAACTAATTTTGGAAGCTACTTATTTTTAGCTACATAAGGTGGCCTGAGAGAGAAGTATTCACAATTCCTTAAAAAAAAATAAAAAATAAAAAATAAAAAATAAAAAAAGAGGGGTCAGCTTTTAAAGCAAATGTGCCTAATTCCCTGTAAGCAAGCTTAACAGCTAGGCTATGCTCTGTGAACTCTGAATTATGTACAAATACAATTTCTTATGCTTTTGCCATGTAATTCACGTGTTTAAGGATCAGGATTTCACTCTGATTCCTGTAATTAATGGAAATATTTTTCCCCAACTATAAATGCAATTAATATTTACACTAATTTTATGAAAGGAAAAGCTAAAGAGTAAAAAACAAAACAAAACAAAAAACCCAAAAAACAAACGCATCAGGAATACAAATGTATGTTGAGCTGCACAACTCTGCCTTGTAAGAAATGAAGGAATAGCACATTTTGTAGATAATGAAAAGAAATGCCCTGTTGAACTGGATTTAGTCAGAAGTCAACTAGCTCATACAATAGTTACAAAAACTTTTTAGAGTGGGAAGAAATGGTGTTAGAGAGGGAACAGAATTCTTTGTTGTAATCCTATTGCGTCCTGATTAGAAGGAATGCTCCTTTTCTGACAATTTAATTTACACCATCTTGACACAGAAACTCCACTGACATTTCCCAACATAATTAAGAACAGATTATCAGTAATTGCTCAGAAGTGGGAAGGAAGAGTTATTCACAGAAGTATAATGCACAATTATATTTCATGACAAACCTATTCATCTCATCTGGGGGGAAGCGTGGGGACTATCAGTCCCACAGAAGCACCACATGAATTAGGAAGACAAACTTACCAAAAACCATTCGCCATATTGCAGGGTGGGGGCGTGTAAAAGGCCCTGTAAATAGTAAACAAAAAGCCTATTACAAGACAGTCCATAAGTGCCATGATCTGTTTCTGAGTTCTCATACGAAGATTTGGCACAAACATTGAGAAATTCTCCATCAAGGTGTGTAATATGCCATGAAGTTTGGGGATCCTTGCTGTATATTAAAAAAAACAATGGCAGCAGCAGAACTGAGAGGGACAAGACACTGCCTATTAATAGGACAGACAAAGTGTTCAACTATTTTAATGGGAGCTGCTTCCAAAACAGTAATATACTATTTGCTTAGCAGATGTTTATTGCAGCTAAAAATCCCCCAATCTGGATTCCAGACCACAGCTAACACGTGGCTTGAAACCATCAAATACAATTTTTTGTGCATTAGCAAAGAAAAATGGTGCTCAGCTTCTAATGACTACAAAATGTTAACAAACAGGCATATAAAAAGAACTTGCAGACTAAATACTAGACATCTAATAGGATTTAAAGCACCTGTGTTCTTTACCAGGGCCACTATTATATACTTTAGAACCAATGATTACACTGACTTTGATTACACTGACAATACAATGATTACACTGACTGATCAAAAACCTCAGAGCCCAAAAAGCAGAAGAGGTAAGTCTGGTTTAGACATTTCCACTTTGACACGAATTACACATTTAGGTCACAAGAAGTGGCTGAATTTTCAGTGCATGCTGAGGATCCCTCTTTCACAGTTATAAGCGTGAAATTCATTTTTCTCTGACATTCAGTTTTTCAGGGATTACTTTTTGAAAGCCATCAATTAATGAGGTTCAAACACAAGAAAAATACATTCCAACCCTGAACTACAAAGCAGTCGTGCACACAATCACTGTTCACTTGTTTCAGGATGTTGCCACTCCTGAGATTCTTTGGAGTTGACACAATAATTATTCTCTTGCAGACAAGAAGCAAAAATTAGAAATGAATCAGGAAAGATGCCATTTCTTCCACTGGATTGTCACCCAAATGATTTGCCCCTTTTGCACTTTCTGCTGCCCACACAATTACCAGAACTTTCATCTGCCTTTAATTTCTACCAAACAACTGTGGTTTTACACTGTAATATGATTTACGTGGCTTTTAACTATCACTAGGTGATTTATGTACTGTGCTACATCTTTAAGAATTTGTAGAATGACACTGCTAAAAGTAAAGGTAAATTCATTTAATGTATTTCTTAAGGAGCTGGCAGCATTGTTAGCAACTGTGAGCTGCGACTGTGCACCTGCAAATATGGACCCTGATTTTGAAAACCTGACTTCCTTGTTAGATAAAGACAAGCTATAAATAACTTATCTCCCCTCAGAGTGACTGCAACCCATTTTTAGACTGTTCTGTAATACAAAGGAATTCAGAAGTTAAAAAAAAAATACATTTCAAAGAGGTACTTCAATCAAAATAAATATAGTGGCAATAAAGAGAAATTTATGTGTTGCAAAAAGTGATGTATGAACCTTACTCACCATTGGGAAAAGCTAGAACACTGATGATTAGAAAGAAGAAAATCACAGAGAGGATACCCCTCCAAATATTTTCCTCTGGGACAGAATCATCCCTGAAGAGACAGAGAGCATCAAAGTGTTAAAGTGTCATTTTAAGGTTGAAGTTGAAAGACACTGAGTATATAATCATTTAAATGAAGACTACATAGAAAAAAGTACAAGAAATAATCATGCTGGTTAAGTACCAAGTCAAGATAAGAATTGCACTGAGTGACTTTCACTGCACTTCTTGCTATCCCTGTTTTCGTGGTCTCTGCAATCCCCTTTGTTCCCATGGCCTTTTCCCAATGACAAATACCTGGTGCAAGTGCCAGGACAGGGCAATTAATTATTATAATCAGCATTTAATATTATAATGCCCCAGGTTCCTGTACCCTAGTCACAGCCCAGAGAGTCCTTCTGCTGGGGCTGGGGGAAGCCCACAGAGTAGTTTCTAGGCTGTGTGAGGCAAGGTACTGCGTTTAACATTGACACAATTGAACTTAAAAGAACCAGAGGAAAATATTAACCTGCTTTGTGATCTATTAAGCCATAAATCTGAATGAAATACAAGGTAACATTTGTGCTATTGTCATATTACAGCCAGAAGAGAGATCTAAGAATTCAGTTTGGAATAACAAGGCACACTTGACTGAGCTCCTCTTTCTTCTCAAGCTGTTAGAAAATAAAAAGATATAGAGCAGTGAGATGACCAAAAAAACATATCCAAGTCTCATCAGCAGTCAGCTTCTAGCAGACTTCAGTAATAGGCATGGAAAAACTTCCAACTATAATTATAAGCACATTATTAGTAATATATAAAGTAATATTTAACAATGCATCAGCTAGTACTACTCCGAGTTTTACTATCGTGGTACTTTCATGTACTTGTGGTCAGTTTATCTATTTAAATAATTCCTTTTATTTATTCCCAGTACGTGATATAAATAAAGAAAAATCCCAGTCAATGTTAGAGGGACTACAGGTCTTCCTGGTAGAGCATTTGGCACATGGCTGAATGGTTCAGCAAAGAATCTGTGGCAGCATAAATGTGTTCCACCTTAGATATATACTACAGTCATAAAATATTTCTCACTTTGCCAAATTATTTTCCTTTCCCTCAAAATTGCACCTCAACAGTTCCATAGCAGACCCTCACCATCATGAGGCACTTAAGCACTGCGTTAGTTCATCTGTATGGCAGGAAAAAGTGCATTAAACATGAATGGTTCCTCTGCAGGCCTTTGGGATTCCGTACAGCATTTCTCTCAAACCAGCTGACTCCAGATAGATACACCAGCAGATACACCAGTCATTCTCCTGCAGTCGTGCTGCACAGGCTGAATCCTGAGCTCCTGGCCCTAACTCTGGCTTCCTTGGCAACCCCAAAAGCCTGGTGTTATCCACAGCACTTCCAGACAGAGCCTCAGACGAAGCCATATTCCTGCTTTAACATACACAGATAACACACACTCACATGCTGTCACTGGTGTCATCACGTATGGGGATTCCTTATTATTTTTTGAAGAGATAAGAAGTTCCTGAAGTCATATCAGCACACAGTTCAGTGCAGCCAGATAAGAACTGAAGGGCACTGTGATCACATCAATTGATTCTCACTCCAAGGCCCTCACCTTTGCTTATCAGCTTTGAGGGTATCACTCAGTCTCAGGAAAGCTGTTCTAATCTTATTGGTTTAGGGAGAAAAGAGTGTCAGAGAGATATTGCATGAACTGTTAAACCGCTTCTCGCTCCAAGCGAGTGGTAGAAGCATTTCATTTTGGTCGGAGTTACCTTTGAGGAGGCATAGGTACCCCATCTCCTTGCCAGAAGCAGGTAAAAGGCAGGCAGCAGCAGGAGATGGTTAGGATAAGAATTACAGCGCTTTCCTGAAGAGTTATTTTGGGGAACACCAAAAGAAACAGAGAAGCAAAATAACTGTCAGAGGAAAGAGGCAATCACGACAAGCTGCAATCAGGAAAATGTGCTAAATCATCTCTTCACTTCGCCTTAGGAACTTTGATGCTGACTTTGAAATATAAGCACTCACGCAGCACAAATGAGGCTTGTGTGGGAGGACAGAAGAAAATTCTTACAGCTTAAACCCACTTCACAAATGTATTTTTCAAGTCTGGGGCTTTCTGCAGAAATAATAAAAAACACGAAGTGTATCATATCTGCACAATCTTTTCCTCTCTCTTGATCTTCTCCCCATTCCAGAGCACTGTAATAAACTAACCCATTACAAAAACATAAAACGTTATCACATAAGAAAAAAAAAATTAGGACACTGAACTGGAATAAAAATAGTTAGAGCACTAAATTTAGAGCATGTGGGAGGAAAAAAGAGAGTCTTCCAAAAATGCACCTAAATCCATAATAATCCAGTTTGAACAAAGGGATGTAAAAAACTACAGATCAACACCCTCACAGGTCTTGTTCCTGCTCCTATAAAGCCATGCACATCACGCTAGAAGCTGCCAGTCTGCCACCTCCCTCAGTCCTTCCTCCAGCAGCCCTCCTGCAGGGCCACCATTTCCTTTCTCAAGGGAGGGAAAGAACAAGGAGAGCTAGAGCCACTCCACTCCTCTGCTCTGGGGTGCAGCCTGGAAGCAGAGGAGCCGCTGTCTGGCTCATTCAACAGGAAACAAGCAAGGCAGCTGCAGCCATTGTCAGAGGCACTAGAAGGATGTGCTTTAAAAACAGATAACCCACTACTCCACACTTTAAAATGGAGAAGCTAAAAACACTCTTCTTTCTCTGGATTATGATTAATACAAGAACGTTACCGCTATCTGAAGCAGAGTTTCATCATCAACTGTCAGCTCAAAGTCAGTATCATCTTACTCTCATTGATCCCAAGGGAGCCTCCACATTATGGCTTGCTGCATCCAAGGGAAAAGTATTTTCTAATTTGATCTGAACCCTCTTGTATTCCTGACACTGAACAATTACAGAAGAGGCAAGAGAGACTTCAAAGGAAGCAGAATTTCCTCTGCCTGCACTGCAGTTCCTGAAAACAAAAATAATTTACTGAAGATGAATGTATTGTGGAAAATCCCTTGCTTAATATAATTGATCAGGGGCGCTGTGGAACAACTGACAGCAGAAAGGAAGCAAAGAAGAAGAATCTGTCACATCTTAACAGTCCTTAGAGCCCTTGAGATAGAAATCCAAATGCAGCCACTGCAGATTCACACAGTAAGCTGGTGGGAGTAGGAAGATGAGAGCTGGGAACACACACTGATAGCATGTTGGGTACTATTCCCTCTCCATCTCAGCTTCTCAAAGAGAACATATGGTTTGGGTAGTGTTCCAAATAAGGCAACAGAGGCAGCACATTGGTATCACCCCCATTTAAAAAACTCCTGGGACAGCTGGAGATAGCAGAAAAGGAGGAAAAAAAATGAACACAAAAGAAAGCAAACAAAGAAAAAAGTAACTCTCAAAACCCCTGAAGAGAATAAGAGAAGAGTTAAAGAGAAGCTGATGGTACTTAAACACAGGAAGTGAGGCAGAGAAGAAAGGCAGACAGGGAGAAGAAAATGAAACGGAAGTCAGTTAGAAAGCTACCAAGACAAATGGAAATAAAAGCTAGCAATCCTCTTGGGGAACAAGTAACCACCACGATATTAAAGAAATATTCCAAGGGCCATGAAGACTCTGTAGTTCTGAGCTTGCTGGCTGACTCATCCTCTACTTGGAAGAATTAAAGGTAAAAGTCCTTTCTTCTCCCAAAGGTGAGCGATCAATTCCATTAATCCTTCAGAATGCTATTTGGATAAGAATTCCCTAATAACTCATAAATTTGACTTAAATTAGATAATGTGACCTAAATCAGCCCTACAACAGGACGAGTTACCAGATGGGGAAATAGGGCCCTCATAGGAAAGATTCCTAATTCAACATCATACCAAAGCATAGAAACATACCTCTAATTTAAGAATTAAAGAGAGATCTCTCAGACAGTCACCCTCAGCTAAAATCTTGCCACCTGAATAGAACAAGTGTTTATCAAGAACACCTTCACTGGGGCCATATATAGAAAATACAAAAAGAAAACACACACTCAGGGCCATGTGCTGCTACACTCTTTTACACTTCCTCATGCTATTTTCTCAGCCCAGCCCAGGCACGATCGTTACTTCTGTGGCTGATAGAACCTACCCATTTGAATCTTTAATACAGATGACACACCAAATTGTATCACAACCCTAGGGATAAATAATGATGTTCCACTGTCAAAGGCAGAGTATAATCAACGAGGCTACTGCAACCTGAGATTAAATACATACTACAGCACTAAAGCATCAATGAGTCCAAAACTCAATGCATTAGTTTAGTTAGAACCTCACAGGAATCACTTTTAATCTTTCCCAGCCTCAACGATTCTGTGATATTGAGCAACGTGGTTTTAGTGGGTATGGTGGAAGTGGGTTGATGGTTAGACTGGCTGGAGATGATCTTAGTGGCCTTTCCAAACCTTAATGATTCCATAATTCTATCAGAGGCTGCATGACATTGCTTTGGGGAGGATCGTAATGCCATCACATCCCCAGATCCACCCAATAGGAGGAACAAAACATATGGGCAACATGGAAAAGCAGCGCAACATACCCCAGGGAGGGCACTGCTACACACTTCGTTTACAAACGGGGCTCCTGGAGTTACCTGTACCCACTCTCAGCTTTATCACCATAAATGAGTGCAGCAGTGAAACCCACAGAGCTTTTCCTGTGGTGGGGAAAGGACGTGGCCGGGCTTACCAGAACAGGGGCCTAAGTCCACGTGCGATTACCCTCAGAAGTTACATGAAAATGACAGCACAAAGCAGCCACTTCTGCCCGCTGCACACTTGGTAATTTACTACTTGGTGATGTCATCGCTGAGCTCCTTGATAGCCCAAGGAGAGCCATTTTTGGCTACTGCTCAAAGCACACACTCGTTTTTTTTTCCGTAAAGGAAGCCACAGAACGGCGGACAAGCCCGAGGAGGGGCAGCGGCAGAGAACGGCCCCTCAGAGGAGGCTCTCCCCGCAGGGCTCCCTCAGAGCACGGCGCACACGGCCCGCTACTGCATGCACAGCTCCCGCTCTCGCCCCGCGCGCCCCCCTTCTCCTTCCCCCTCACCCAGGGGCGCGGCGCGGGGACGGAGCGGGGAGGGGCACCCACACCTGGTGAAGGCGAAGGCCATGAGGCTAAGGATAGTGAAGCTGAGGAGGGTTATGGTGTGCGGCCGGTAGAAAAACTCCAGCGTGATGTCCTCCACCTGCTGCTCGTTGATCATGCGGAAGTGCAGGCGGTAGTTCACGTCGTCCTTGCTCAGGGTCCGGCTCCCCACGCACGCCGCCATCTCGACCCCTTCCCCTCGGCTCGGCTCGGCCCGGCCCGCCCCACCCGAGCCCGGCGACACCGCCGCCGAGGGGAAAGTCGCCGCGCCCGCCGCGCCGAGGGGCGGACCCAGCTCTGCCGTTCACCCACGCGACGGGAGAAGGCGGAGGGTGGGCGGAGCGAAGCCGAGCCGCCTCCTGGTGGAAGCGGTGGGACGACCCTTTCCCCTCTGCCGCCCCTCTCCCCGCTCCCGAGTGGTCTCGCCCGAGCGCCTCCTCCTTCCCCCCCGCCCCGCGCAGGGGTTGCTGGGCTGGGAGGCCGATGGGGGTTGAGAGTGGGGTTGTGATGCTGCCCCGTGGGTGAGGTGAGCGTGCTTCGCTCCCTTCCTCCGCCTCTTGTGCACCGCGGAGCACCGCGTGGAGGCGGTGGATGGCCGTGTGGGCTCGGCTTACCGCCCGCTGCGGCTGGCTGAGGGCCGCCGGCTTGCTGGGCCTGAGGAGCCGCGGCGGCGCCGCGCGGGCGTGCTGTGGGGCGGCCCCGCTGCCTGCGCTGCTCTCTGGGCGCAGGCTTCCTCCGTGGAGGCTGCATGTATCTGTAGGAGACTATGCCCGGCCCTCCCGTGCCAAGGGCGAGGCCTGTGCTCCCAGAAGCAGCCTGCCTGTAGCAGTAAAGCAGGAGCAGGCGGCACCAGAGACGGTCTCTGACCTGAGCGCAGCCAAACTGTATGAAGGTAAGAGACCTCAGGGAGTCCTGCGTTCAGTATTGCTGTTGGCGCTCTTTTTTATTCTGTTCTTTCTTTTCTGACCTGTTTAACTGAAGTACACAAGTTGTTTTGAAAGTAACACCTGCTATTTATTTCCATGCAAACTACAATAGGTACGAAGAGCACAATAACAATTTGATAGGGCAAATTCTCAGCTACAAAACACTGTTTTCCAACATAGTCACCACTGTTAGCTATGCATTTTTGGCAGTGATGAAGAAGAGCCTACATGTAGATGTAAACATCTACACCAGTGGAGTTGACCTGCTGTTGCCACCACTGAAATGCAGCACCCACTGCCTCACTGTGCTCATGTCCACTGTCTGTTCTCCATCAGCATTCAATAAGCATCAATGCATATCAATGGATGCCATTTTTTCTCACGTGGAGGAATTCAGTGACGGGCCTTTGCTTCCTCACTTCTGCTGATGCTATTCTATCAGACTGCCTCTCTGCTGCCATCTGTCACACAGCTACAAAATGTACCAAAATATCGGTGGGAAGGTGCAACATCTCCTGCCATATCATCAATATCCACCTCTGACACTGCAAGCCAACAAAATAAAATAGGAGGCGTTACTTTCAGAGCAGCTCTTACATTTATCTGGCTTTCCTGACTTTCATTTGGTTTTACTCCCATAGTTAACGTAGAATTCCTGCTGCAGCTCCATAGCATATAAATCCAAAATCCAAAAATTGAGCTAATCCAAAATAAAGTTGTAATGTGGTGGGTTGGAGCAGATCCTTGAAGGCATTTTGTTTTCATAACTGTCTGCAGCAGCTGAGCAGGGGTGGGGGAAAGCAGTCCAAAGCAATTCACGCAACACTGAGAGTTGGTCCAGAGTAGGCAACAGGAGGCAACAAAGTGTGAAGCACTGCCATAATGAGAAGTGCTTGTCAAATTGTCTTTTGAGGGAGATAGATCTTGGTGTTGTCTGCCTCACTTTTCTCTACTAAATATTTTCAGAGTGGCCTTTTTTTATATTCATGTCTGAGAGAGGATGTAAAAATAAAAAATACTGTTATCTGGAAATAATGTCAGTATGCTGAGGAAACATGATCTGGAGTAATAAAGCAGTCTTATATATTCAGATTCAGCTTTGAGCCCAGACAGCTTGGATCTTACAGAGCTTATTTTTGGGGTGGCTCAGAGCTGCAACTGAGACCTGTGTATTTGTGCAGCTGGTTCTGGAAACAGCACAGCACCAGATCTGACAGGTCAGCCAGCTTATATGTCTCTGCACCTGCAGCACAGTTTGTTTACGTGCCAGATTTGATCTGCAGGCACATTTACTGTTGTGCAAGTATGTGGAGCAGTTTGCCCAGTTGGCAGTATGTAATAGGAGAGACATAGCTTATACTTTTTTTAATTATGATTTATTAATTTGAGATCTATTTTATGATAGGAAGTTTAAAGAACTTTGAGTGGGGGGGGAAAAAAAAAGTGCATCTGTGATACAAGAATGAATTGTAGTCTATATTGATTTGTTCCTGAATGGAAACGCATCATATCCATATAGACTCCTGGAGTGCTCTTATTACTGTTTAAGATGTAAGTGTTGCTAAAATGTTTTATTGGGCTTTTTTTGCCGAGGCTTTGAAGTGGCAAGAGCTGCAACAATTGAATTAGTCTATGCAACACTTCCTAGAACAATAGCATCTTCCTGCTTATTTTGAAACCTGTCTTTGTAGTTCAGGTTTGTGTTTTTTGCCACTTAAGAGTTTCACCCAAGTGTGTAGGAAGTCATTGCGCTAAGGTACAGGACTCAAAAAATCCCCATCCAGGGGAGTTAATAATTAGTGCTGCTGATCGGTAGTCAGTTGAACAATTGAGGTGAATGCTGATGGACAGCCTTCAAAATAACAATTCTGATTTGCCAGCTGCAAGTTCCTGTCACTTGAGAAATAGATGAGTTGAGAGGAAATATTTTCAAAAAAGAGAGCAAATTCTGTGACTGAACAGGTGAGTGGGAGCAAACACAATGGTGCTTATTTGGGAATGTTAATAAGTAGGAATGGAGCTCGAATTTTTTAGCTGTCAGAGGTGGTGGCAGTCAGCAGTTATTCTCTAATGGTTGAGATATGATAGCTGAATTGAAGGTGTCTGTGAAATACCTTGACAGTTAAAAACAACTGCAGTTCAAGCACTGTATTTAAAAGAGGTGCAAGACAGTGGACCTACCAGGTAATTAAAAATAATCTTTCCAGTAGCTTTTGGTCTGGATTTGATCAGGCAAAAATGTATTTGGGAAGACAGGAAAGAAGTATTTTTCAATAAAGTGATGTGATCTGTTGTCTGCAGTGATGAAGCTGGAGGCTGAAGGCAGGGTTGTTGGGCATTTGGCTCAGATTTAGCGTTATGAGCAAGGAGTTGATGGACAGTGACAAGGAAATGTCACAGAGGCAAAAACTGGGAGCAGAATCTTTTTGCATGTCCTTTCAAATAACAATAGATTTGCTGTTCATTTCTTGCAAAAAATGTTGTTGCTTTTTGAGATGGATTTGAGGAGATCTCCATAGCCTTTGAGGGGAGCAGCTTTGTCATTCACAAAATGCACCGTAATCTTCTGTATTTATTTCTTAGACTGGGATGATGTTCCACCTTCATCTGCTTTGGAGGAGATTTCCGAGGAAGAAGCTGTGAAGATCATTGCAGATCCACTTCTTCCTCCTCAGTCTTCCACACTTCGAGATTATGTTGATCACTCAGAAACCCTGACCAAGCTTGTCCACCTAGGTGTGTGTGATTTTGTTTACGTGTTTTCTGTGTGTCTGAAGCTTTGAAAGTTCTGCAGTTTGTGTTTTGATCTTATTGGTGGTTTTGTAAACTTGAACATTTCAGGCTGTGGAAACGATGACCAGTAAGAAGGGCAGCAGAATATTATGCAGAGTGAATGGAAAAAGCTGTGCATGAGTCACACAGCAAGGATACTTCACTGAAATTGTCCCCTTCCCTTATGTAATGGAGTTAGGAGTTCCTTGTACATATTTCTGTGCAACAAGACAGGTCTCTGCATGCGGTACATACTAGCGTGCTCAATTTCTCACATTCAGGATTCACTGAAGATATCTCTCTTCAGAAAACAAATTTAGCAAAAGAGTCTGAAAACAGTCTGTTTGTTTTATCTGGAACATTTCCATAATATACAACCTTCGTGTGTTCAGCAAGGTATGTTAAATAAGGGGAAAATTTTATATATATGTATGTGTGTGTGTGTATGTATGTATGTATATATATATATATATATATATATATGTAAAAATATATACACACATACTACTCCTTAGAAACTTCAGCATGACTTTCTGAAACATTTATAGGAAATCAGGTCTGTGTTTAATTAAAACAGTCTCTCATTTTATTTGTTTCTAGGAGTTGATTTATCTCAAGTGGAGAAACGTCAAAAGGCAGGTCAACTCTTACTGACCTTGGACTTTGAAAAAGATATAACTAAAATACTTCTGTTTCTGAAGGATGTGGGTATAGAAGACAGTCAGCTGGGACCGTTCCTAACCAAAAATCCATACATCCTTGGTGAAGATCTGGAAGCTCTAGAAACCAGGTATGCTTTTATGATATAAAATATCAACATGGTGCTAAGGCCTTAGGGTTGAAGTTTCCCAATTGGCTTAAGCTTGTCTGAACGTGTGTTGCTGCCACATATATTCAGCTCCTGGCTCCACGTTCCTTTTCCCATCAGTCAGCATTAACACATGGTGGTGGTGTCATAAGTCAGTGCTCCGATGCATTTGAAAACTGACCATCGTATCAAATTTTACTGCTCAGGTTTTCAGTCTGACTTAACAAGATGCAAAGCCGTACCTCCATAAAAAGATGAGACACATACTTTAGAAAGGAGAATAAACAGAAAAGAGTGTCTCTTTTAGTAGCAACTTGGAACTGACTTAACAAGGAGACTGCCCCTTGATTACATATGCTTCAGAAGACACTTTGTTCTGAATATATTAGCTACTTGTCTGAAAGTAAGCACTGAAGAAATAAGAAAAATGTATGTATATACACCTGTTTCTCCAGCAGCATGACTTGTAAAATGATGGGATTTGTGTTGGAAGTTGTCATTGTGTCTACCAGTTTTGTTGGTTTTAGGTTTTTGGGTTGGTTAGTTGTCTGAATCAAGCTGTTTAATAGTATAACCTGTTCTCTGCCAACAGTGGAACATCTTCTTTAACAGTAATTATTTCATTAACAATTCTTTGTCTGGTCATTTCTAGAGATATAATGACATAATGGTGGTAACTGTGAATATTCATTCACAGAAGTCTGTCCTGAGTA